TCCCCAAGACACACAGGCAACCACGTCCCCAAGACACACAGGCAACCACGTCCCCAAGACACACAACCACGTCCCCAAGACACACAGGCAACCACGTCCCCAAGACACACAACCACGTCCCCAAGACACACAACCACGTCCCCAAGACACACAGGCAACCACGTCCCCATGACACACAGGCAACCATGTCCCCAAGATACACAGGCAACCGCATCCCCAAGACACACAACCACGTCCCCATGACACACACGCAACCACGTCCCCATGACACACAAGCAACCGTGTCCCCAAGACACACAACCACGTCCCTGTGACACACAGGCAACCACGTCCCCGAGACACACACACAACCACGTCCCCGAGACACACAGGCAATCACGTCCCCGTGACACACAACCACGTCCCTGTGACACACACACAACCACGTCCCCATGACACACAGGCAACCACGTCCCCAAGACACACAGGCAACATCTCCATGACACAGGCACACAGATGTCCCCATGGCACACAGGCAACCATGTCCCTGTCACACACGCACACCATCCCCATGACACACGTGCAACAATATCCTCATAACACGTGCGCACCTACATCCCCATGGCACACGTAGACTGTCCCTGTGACATGTGGGCGCTGACATCCCTGTGACACACATGCATCTATGTCCCGTGACACACACACACCGCAGCTCCACTGGAAGCCTGGCTATGCGTGGCTGTGAGGCAGGGGTCATTCTCCTGATGGTCATGGTAATGCCCCTCTGCTGTATTCTAGCCTCAGGGGTTGCTGAGAAATCTGATGCCCCCTGACTCAAGTGCCAGCGTCTTCTGGGGAGGCCCCGGGGCTGTGGCCAGATCCCAGCAGGATGGACGTGGCGTGGTCCCCTGGGGGCTCCATGGCTACCCTTTTGCATGTGGCTTCCCGATTGTGTCCTGCCCTCCACGCCCTCGGTTCTGTCCTCGGGAACTCCTGCTGTTTAGAACTTACACTTCCTGGGACTAATTCTGTGTTCTCATCTTTCCTCCTCTGCCTTTTTGGGAGATTTCCTGAACTTTATTTTGCAACCCTCTCATTGAATGGTTCATTTCTGCTATCACAAATTTGACCCTATCCACGAGTTCTGGTTTTCTGAAGCTTTTTCTGAGGGTCTCCTCTCTTATTCCTGGCTTCTCCTCCTACCCCCGTTATTAGTTCATTTTCACGCTGCTGATAAAGACATACCTGAAAGTGGGAACAAAAAGAGGCTTAATTGGATTTATAGTTCCACATGGCTAGAGAGGCTTCAGAATCATGGTGGGAGGCAAAAGGCACTTCTTACATGGTGGTGGCAAGAGCAAATGAGGGCCAGGTACAGTGGCTCACTCCTGTAATGTCAGCACTTTGGAAGGCTGAGGCGGGCAGATCACCTGAGGTCAGGAGTTCATGACCAGCCTGGCCAACATGGTGAAACCCTGTCTTCACTAAAAATAAAAAAAGTAGCCAGGCATGGTGGCTCACGCCTGTAATCCCAGCACTTTGGGAGGCCGAGGCGGGCAGATCACGAGGTCAGAAGATCGAGACCATCCTGGCTAACATGGTGAAACTCCGTCTCTACTAAAAACACAAAGAATTAGCCAGGCGAGGTGGTGGGCTCCTGTAGTCCCAGCTACTCGGGAGGCTGAAGCAGGAGAATGGCAAGAACCCGGGAGACGGAGCTTGCAGTGAGCCAAGATCATGCCGCTGCACTCCAGCCTAGGCCACTGAGCGAGACTCCGTCTCAAAAAAAAAAAAAAAAAACCAAAGTAGCCAGGCGTGGTGGCAGTGCCTCCCAGCTACTCGGGAGGCAGAGGCAGGAGAATCACTTGAACCCGGGAACAGGGGCTGCAGTGAGCTGAGATTATGCCACTGCACTCCAGCCTGGGTGACAGAGCAGAACTCCATCTCAAAAAAACAGAGAAAGAAAATGAGGAAGAAGCAAAAGCGGAAACCCCTGATAAACCCATCAGATCTCATGAGACTTACTCACTATCACAAGAAAAGAAAGGGAAAAACTGGCCCCCATGATTCAGTTCCCTCCCACTGGGTCCCTCCCACAAGGGGAATTCTGGGAGATACAATTCGAGTTGAGATTTGGGTGGGGACCTGGCCAAACTGTATCATTTCACTCTTGGCCCCTCCAAATCTCATGTCCTCACATTTCAAAACCAATGATACCTTCCCAACAGTCTTATAAAGTCTCAACTTATTTCAGCATTAACCCAAAAGTCCACAGTCCAAAGTCTAATCTGAGACAAGGCAAGTCCCTTCCACCTATGAGCCTGTAAAATCAAAAGCAAGCTATTTACTTCCTAGATACAATGGAGGTACAGGTATTCGGTAAATTCCGTTCTGGGATGGGCGCGGTGGCTCATTCCTGTAATTCCAGCACTTTGGGAGGCTGAGGCGGGCAGATCACCTGAGGTCGGGGGTTTGAGACCAGTTTTACCAACATGCAGAAACCCCATCTCTACTAAAAATACAAAATTAGCCAGGTGTGGTACATGCCTGTAATCCCAGCTACTTGGGAGGCGGAGGCTTGAGAATTCCTTGAATCTGGGAGGCGGAGGTTGCGGTGAGCCGAGATTGCGCCATTGCACTCCAGCCTGGGCAACAAGAACGAAACTCCATCTCAAAAAAAAAAAAAAACAAACAAAAAAACCCCAAAAAAACTGTTGCAAATGGGAGAAATTGGACAAAACCAAGGGGTTACAGGGCCCAAGCAAGTCTGAAATCCAGCAGGGCAGTCAAATTTTAAACCTCCAAAATGATCTCCCTTGACTCCAGGTCTCGCATCCAGGTCATGCTGATGCAAAAGGTGGGTTTCCTTGGTCTTGGGCAGCTCTGCCCCTGTGGCTCTGAAGGATTCAGCCTCCCTCCCAGCTGCTTTCATGGGCTGGTGTTGAGTGCCTGCTGCTTTTCCAGGCACAAGGTGCAGACTGTCAGTGGATCTACCATTCTGGCATCTGGATGACAATGGCCCTCTTCTCACAGCTCCACTAGGCAGCGTCCCAGTAGGGACGCTGTGTGGGTGATCCCACCCATTTCCCTTTTTTTTAGACGGTGTCTCGCTCTGTCGCCCAGGCTGGAGTGCAGTGGCACAATCTCAGCTCACTGCAAGCTCTACCTCCCAGGTTCACACCATTCTCCTGCCTCAGCCTCCCAAGTAGCTGGGACTATAGGTGCCCGCCACCACGCCCAACTAAATTTTTTTGTATTTTTAGTAGAGACAGGATTTCACCATGTTAGCCAGGATGGTCTTGATTTCCTGACCTTGTGATCTGCCTGCCTTGGCCTCCCAAAGTGCTGGGATTACAGGCGTTAGCCACCGCGTCCAGCCCCCACCCATTTCCTTTCTGGACTCCCCTAGCAGAGGTTCTCCATGAGGGCCCCACCCCTGCAGCAAACTTTTGCCTGGACATTTAGGCATTTTCATACATCTTCTGAAATCTAGGCAGAGGTTCCCAAACCTCAATTCCTGACTTCTGTGGACCCACCGGCTCAACACCACGTGGAGGCTGCCAAGGCTTGGGGCTTCCACCCTCTGAAGCCACAGCCCGAGTTCTATGTTGGCCCCTTTCAGCCATGGCTGGAGTGGCTGGGACACAGGGTACCAAGTCCCTAGACTGCACACAGCACAAAGACCCTGGGCCTGGCCCACAAAACCACTTTTTCCTCCTGGGCCTCCAGGCCTGTGATGGGAAGGGCTGTCATGAAGGTCTCTGACATGACCTGGAGACATTTTCCCCATGGTCTTGGGAATGAATGTTAGCCTCCTTGCTACTTATGCAAATTTCTGCAGCCAACTTGAATTTCTCCTCAAAAAATTGCTTATTCTTTTCTACTGCATCATCAGGTTGCGCATTTTCTGAATTTTCATGCTATTTCCCTTTTTAAACAGAATGCTTTTTCTGTTTTGTTTTTGAGATGGAGTCTTGCTCTATCACCAGGCTGGAATGCAATGGTGTGACCTCGGCTCACTGCAACCTCTGCCTCCCTGGTTCAAGTGATTCTCCTGCTTCAGCCTCCCGAGTAGCTGGGATTACAGGTGTGTGCCACCATGCCTGGCTAATTTTTGTATTTTTAGTAGAGACGTGGTTTCATCATATTGGTCAGGTTGGTCCTGAACTCCTGACCTCATGATCCTTCCGCCTCAGCCTCCCAAAATGTTGGGATTACAGGTGAGAGCCATTGCGCCCAGTCCCAGAATGCTTTTAACAGCATCCAAGACACTTTTTGAATGCTTTGCTGCTTAGAAATTTCTTCCTCCAGATACCCTAAATCGTATCTCTCTCAAGGTCAGAGTTTCATAAATCTCTAGGACAGGGACAAAATGCCACTAGTCTCTTTGCTAAAAGATAACAAGAGTCACCTTTGCTCCAGTTCCCAACAAGTTCCCCATCTCCCTCTGAGACCACCTCAGCCTGGACCTTATTGTTCATATCATTATCAGCATTTTTGTCAATGCCATTCAACAAGTCTCTAGGAGGTTCCAAACTTTCCCACATCTTGTCTTCTGACCCTCCAAACTGTTTCAACCTCTGCCTGTTACCCAGTTCCAAGTCACTTCCACATTTTTGGGTATCTTTTCAGCAATACTCCACTCTACTGGTACCAATTTACTGTATTAGCCTGTTTTCACGCCGCTAATAAAGACATACCTGAGATTGGGCATAAAAACAAGTTTAATTGAACTCACAGTTCCACATGGCTGGGGAGGCCTCAGAATCATGGTGGAAAGCGAAAGACACTTCTTACACGGTGGCGGCAAGAGAAAATGAGGAGAAACCAAAAGTGGAAACCACTGATAAACCCATCAGATCTCGTGAGTCTTATTCACTACCATGAGAATAGCATGGGAAAGACCAGCTCCCATGATTCAATTACTGCCCCCTGGGTCCCTCCCACAACAGGTGGGAATTCTGGGAGATACAATTCAAGCTGAGATGTGGGTGAGGACACAGTCAAACCATATCACCCACCTCGGGAGACCCCGTGGCTTGGCTTGGCTCATCTCCTGCAAGGTCCCTGGCGCTGATCCCTCTCCTCTCCATGGCAGTGTGGGGACTGCGATGCGTATCTGAGAGTGAGGCACTAGTCGTCTGCTTGGAAATGAGTTGGAGGCACCCCAGGAGTGGGACCCCACAGTGAGTGACCCAAGGGGCCCCGGAAGATGCAGACCTGACCGCGTCTCCCCCGGGATGGTCTGTCCAGGAAAAAGTCCTCCCAGCCGCACCTGCCAGCCACCAGGTTTGGGGGCACAGGCAGGGAGCTGCAGACCCCACTCCTCTGCAGCCCTCCCCACCCTCAGCCCAGCTGCAGCAGCAGCCAGAACACCCTGGCCCAGGGTCTCCAAGGGTGAGGGCCGCAGGGTCTGGCAGCACCCCATGAAGGCTGCCCCAGGTCCCAGTTTCAGCCCTCCAAACCCCCGTACCCAGGGAACCTGGGCCTCCATTCCTGAGCCCCCCAGTTTTTGCCTCTCCCATTCTCTTTGCCCCTAAGGGATTTTGCCTTTTAAATTCTTTTGCTGTCACCTTAACTGGCCTTAGGGGAGATGGACCAGCAGGCCTGAGATCCAGGGTGTTAGGGCTCCTCCCAGCAGGGCAGACCCAGCCACGCAGAGCCCACCGCCAGCTTCCAAGGGCTCCCGAAAGGGGGTCGCTGCCTTCTCAGAAGGCCCTCTCCACCATGCCCAGAACCGTGAATGCCCCGGCTTGGGCTTTTCGCCAGGAAATGAAGGGAAAGACAGACCTGTGGGATGGAGGTGGGTCCCAGCGGGGGCAGTCACACCCCAATGCCATCTCTGCACAGACCCCGAAGGATGTGGAGTGCCCTCCAGGGCCGTACAAAGCACCACAGGGTGCGAGCGACAGGGACGTGTGTCCTCACTGTCCTGAGGCTGCAGCTCTGACACTGGGTGGGGAGGGTGGGCCCCACTCCATGGGTCTCCTCCCTGGGTCCTCACGGGTACCCCCATGTGTGTCTGTGTCCTGATCTCCCCTTCTTATGGCGACACCAGTCCTACTGGATTAGGGCCTACCCCAACAACTTCATTTCACCTCTGCAAAGACCCCATCTCCAAATATAGTGACATGGGGCCTAGGGCTTCAACATGGGAATTGGAGGGAAACAACTCAGCCCACAGCATATCACAGGTCCTTCCCCCAACAGAGGTAGAGGCTCCCCACGCCAGCTCTCGGGGAAGGGTCTGGGCGCCCACGGGGACTCTGCACACTATTCTCTCCGCCTCCATGAAAGAGGCGTGTCCATCTCCCGGATGAGAAAACTGAGCTCAGCCAGGATCAAAGCAGGTCTCGTCCCAGTCTCCTCACTCTACCACTCTCCATTTTTATTTGCTTTTTCTTGCCTTTTGGCTGCCTATAAAGGCAATTATTCATGTAATACAATATTTGGAAAACTACATTTGCAAATTCTGAAAAATCATGCAAAAACATCACTAAAAGCCAGCCAGGCACAGTGGCTCACACCTGTAATCCTAGCACTTTGGGAAGCCGAGGCCAGAGGATCACCTGAGGTCAGGAGTTCGAGACCAGCCTAACCAACATGGAGAAACCCCATCTCTACTAAAAATACAAAATTAGCTGGGTGTGGTGGTGCATGCCTGTAATGCCAGCTACTCGGGAGGCTGAGGCAGGAGAACTGCTTGAACCCAGGAGGCAGAGGTTGCGGTGAGCCGAGATCACGCCATTGCACTCCAGCCTGGGCAACAAGAGCAAAACTCCATCTCAAAAAAAAAAAAAAAAAATCACTAAAAGCCACAGTCCCCTCCTGGCCACTCCTGTCTCCTCCTCGCTCCTGGTGCCACCTCATCTGTCTCAGCCTCTGCCTGTCCCCTCAGAGCTGTGGCCCAGCCCTCCTAGGTGCGGGGGAGGGGCCACACACTCTCCCACAGGTGATCCGGGTGCTGAGAGGGGACACAGTGCTGTCCCACAGGTGAGCCAGTGGCCATTTCCAAATTCCCAGGGCCTCTGTCAGCGGGTGTCCAAAGAGCCTGCTTGGGAGCCCCGCACATCTACATGTCCCACCCTTGGACCTCCAAAAAGCACTGGGGGCCGGCACAGTGGGCTCTGACCCACAGGGATGCTGGGCCAGCACCCCTGGAGGAAGGCAGTAGGTACCCGGGGCCTGAGCAGGGGGCAGAGCCCCAATCCCCGCTGCTTCCCCCCGGCTGCTCCCTGGGGACCCCCGGACCACAGTACCAATGGGGGCAGGGTGGGCCCCCCACACAGGTCCTGGACTCACGTACAACGTCCTCTCACCTAGGCTCGTCCTGGTGTCCGTGGCCCAAGGATTTGCAGAGCTGCAGACGGAGCCCAGGGCGGCTGTCGCAGGCCACTCACCCATCCCCAGCATCCGCAGTTTCTCAGGCTCTCAACAATAAACTTTATGTCTCATGGTTCAAGAAATGCCAGGCTCTGGGCCGAGAGGCAGAAGGCTCAGGCACAGCTCCCACTTTTTAAGGCAGCAGAAGCCACCATTTCTCTCTATTGTTGGTTTCCTCCCTGGATCTTTTGCTGAAAGCACATTTGTTTTTCTTTTTCTTTTTTTTTGAGACAGAGTCTCACTCTGTCCCCCAGGCTGGAGTGCAGTGGTGTGATCTCGGCTTACTGCAAGTTCTGCCTCCCGGGTTCCCGCCATTCCCCTGCCTCAGCCTCCCAAGTAGCTGCGACTACAGGCCCCACCACCACGCCCAGCTAACTTGTTTGTATTTTTAGTAGAGATGGGGTTTCGCTGTGTCAGCCAGGATGGTCTCGACCTCCTGACCTTGTTATCCGCCCACCTTGGCCTCCCAAAGTGCTGGGATTACAGGCGTGAGCCGCCGCATCCAGCCTGTTTTTCTTACATTACGTTGAAGTAGATCAAGTTCCTGATAAATGTTAGATTTAGCCTGACTCAGCATGAGCCTGGCTTCTCCCGCCGGTTGGCACATGGGTGGGTACCAGGCACACAGTCTCCCCGCCCTGCCTACCATCTGCTGTCCTGGAACCCTTGGTGGGACCCGCTGCCCACAGACACCTTGCCCATGCCCCAATGCCAGGCGGAGGCCTCTGTGCTCTGAAGAGTGAATAAAACATGAAACTGGCCGGGCGCAGTGGCTCACGCCTGTAATCCCAACCTTGTGGGAGGCCGAGGCAGAAGGAGCACTCGAGCTCAGGAGTTTGAGGCCAGTCTGGGCAACATAGTGAGACCCCATCTATATGAAAAAAAAAAATCAGGCCAGGCACGGTGGCTCACGCCTGTAATCCCAGAACTTGGGAGGCTGAGGCAGGCCGATCACGAGGTCAGGAGATCGAGACCATCCTGGCTAACACGGTGAAACCCCGTCTCTACTAAAAATACAAAAAAATGAGCCAGACGTGGTGGCGGCGCCTGTAGTCCTAGCTGCTCGGGAGGCTGAGGCAGGAGAATGGCGGGAACCTGGGAGGCGGAGCTTGCAGTGAGCCAAGATTGTGCCACTGCACTCCAGCCTGGATGACAGAGCGAGACTTCGTCTCAGGGAAAAAAAAAAATCAGCTGGGTGTGTTGACATGCACCTGTAATCCCAGCTACTCGGGAGACTGAGGTGGGAGGATCACTTGGGCCCAGGAGGTCAAGGCTGCAGTGACCCAAGATTGGGCCACTGCATTCTAGCCTGAGTGACAGAGCAAGACCCTGTTTCAAAAAAAAAAAAAAAGAAGAAAGGAAAGGAAAGGAAAAAAAAAAAGAAAAGAAAAAGGAAAAGGAAAAGAAAAGAAGGAAAAGTGAGGCCCTGCACAGAACCAGGGTGGCTGGCAGCAAGTTATCTGGAGCCAAGGGTGGGTGCTGAGTGCAGCGAGGGCGGGGTGAGCCTCGTGAAACCCCCATCGCACAGGGAGGCCCTGACGGGAGGCCACTGCACCTCTGTTTGTCTTGTCCCAAACAGCAGAGGCCACGGCTGCTCCTGGCCAACACTCCTGCCCCTGGCGTGTCCCATGGCCGTCTGGAGTGTGGACTTGGCTTCCGGCACCAACGCACCCCTGGACCCCCAGACGGCGGCGGCATCAGTGGCGCTGATGGTGTTTGATGAGCAAATGAATAAAGGCAGCAGGTCCCCCACCACCACCACCTCCACTCCCACGGGCACTCCCAGCGGCTCCTGGAAATTTCCCTGAGTTCTCAGTACTCCCCCAGCCACAGGCTCAGTGGGCGTTAGACCCTCTCCCCAACTCTCCTCTGGGGCGTCTGTACCCCGACCCCCACCCCAGGCCGCTCCTCAGCCCCCACCCCTCCCTTCCAGGAGTACAGCCCGGCCCCTCCGCAGGCTGGGGACGGCCTTGCGGGCTGCGGGGACCCGATGGGGCAGCCCCAGCCAGGCCGTCAGGCTCCGAGACAAGTGAGGAGCCAACACTGCCTCCCAGCGTCCCGGGGTGCTGTGCCCGGGAAGGCCCCGCATCTGCGGCACCCGGAGTCGTGGAGGCCAGAACGCTGGGCAGCAGACCCGGCCGTTCACAGACGCGCCGGAGCGGGCGGGCCGGGGTGGCAGCCTGCGGAGGAGCCAGTCCTGGCCACCCCACGCCGACCGCGGCGCGTCCGGGCCGGTCTCTGGGCCCCTCTACTGGTGGAACCCGGCAGCGCCTCCTCCCTCTCAGCCGCGTCTGTCCCAGGCGCCTGCAGTCCAAGCGCCTCCCCCACCTGCGCGCCCAGGCTGGGTCTCCGTTCCCACCCAGGCCAGCGCTGCAGGCAGAGCCCAGCCCGGCGGCCGCGGCGAGCATGGGGAGGCCCCTCCACCTCTGTCGGCCTGTGCTGAACACCGCAGAGGTGGCTGCTCCGCCGAGAAGCCCGCACACCGGTCCAGGCCCCCGAGGGGCCATCTGCCCCCGGCTCACCGCAGGCCCTTTCCCGGGGGCCCCTGTGCCGTGCAAACGGCAGGTCTGGCCGCTCTCGGGCTCTGTCCTGCCAGCCCCACAACGCAGAACCCAGCGTCCCCACCCCATCTCCCAGGATCCCTTGGCTAAGGGAGGGTGACTGGCGGCCCGCAGGCCCTTAGAGGGTCCCCCACAGGCGAGGATGGAGACGCAGCTTCAGACCCCGGAGTGCGGCTCCCCAGACACACCCACGTCCGTCCACCATCCAAGCATAAACCCCAACGCAGCGGCTCCTGGCCTGGTTCTGAGGACGGCACAGCTGGAGTGGGAGAAGCGCCCAGTGCTTCCATCACTGGAGCCCACAGGTCCACAGGAATTCGAGATCCTGGATGCGTTGGCTGGACCCAAGGACACACGCGGGAGGCGGGAGGGGCACAGCAAAGGGTGTAGGGTATGGCCGGAGGGGCTTTCCCCTTGGGCAGTATGGACACCCCAGACCCCCCAAGCGCGCAGCCTCAGGCCTCCAGGGGTTTTCCAGCCTCACGCCTCTGGGGGTCTCCCTGGCCCAAACTCCTTGCAGTGTCTCCAGAAAGCTCTGAAGCCCAGCCCCTCCTCCTTGTGTTTGACTGAGCTGCGTGGGTGTTTTACTAAAACTCAACAGTAGTTTCTTCCTCTCAGGGCCTGGATGTGCCTCCTCCAACACTCGGCAGGACCTGCACGTGCTCCAAAGCTCCCAAGGGACTTTTAAAAGGGGTGGGGGGAGGCGGGCGAGGTGGCTCATGCTTGTAATCCCAGAACTTTGGGAGGCTGAGGCGGGCGGATCACGAGGTCAGGAGATTGAGACCATCCTGGCTAACATGGTGAAACCCCGTCTCTACTAAAAATACAACAAAAATTTGTCAGGCGTGTTGGCAAGTGCCTGTGGTCCCAGCTACTGGGGAGGCTGAGGCAGGAGAATGGTGTGAACCCAGGAGGCGGAGCTTGCAGTGAGCTGAGATCGCACCACCGCACTCCAGGCTGGGCGACAGAGCGAGACTCCGTCTCAAAAAAAAAAAAAAAAAAAAAAAAAAAAGGGCTTTGGGGGAAGACAGCAGCCCCTGCTGCCCTCACACCTCCCCCCAGCTGCTCAGCAAGGCCTTCCAGGGACATCCAGCACAGCTGAACTGGCCCCTCAGACCAATGGTAACCCCAAATCTGACACTGGGGGCCTTTTATCTGCAGTTCCTTGAGTGGCTTATGAGTTCCCAGGTCCTCTTTAAAAAGGCAGAGCCTCGAGCCAGTTGGAATGGACAGGCCCACCATGTACGGGGAAGCCAGGCCAGCGGGAACAGGCACAGCACCCCCCGTGGCTTGTCTCTCACCATCAGGCTGGGCCAGACCCTCTCCACAGGAGTCTGCAGGGCTGTTGTTGTCCCTGAGCTCAGGATGAACCTGTACAAGGCCCCAACAGCACTCCCTTTGCTGATCAGCTGGGGAAGGGGGCAGCTGGCCCTGTCCCTTCGGTGGGAGGGCGGCTGCTATAATTTAAAGTCTGTCCCTCTGAAACACGCTGGACTCTATCACCAGGCTACCGCATTTCCAGGTGAGGCCTTGGGACGTGCCTGGGGGGTGAGGATCCTGCCTGTGGATTCCTGGGTTATCACGGGAGTGGAACTGGTGGCTCTATA